TTTATACTTCCATCCTGCTGCCTGACTCTGCAGCAGCATTTCACGTGGATCTGCCCTGGTATTCCAAGCTTGAAGCATATATTGGAAAACTTGCTTTAGGACAGAAGTTAAAGGTTCTTTAAGAAACCTTAGTTCTCTTTAATTGTGATTATCTGTGTGAGCATGTTATGCAATATAAAAAGCAGGTAATTCATGCACTGACTTCAAGTTCATTTTCTCTGTTGCATCCCGTTCTTTTTAAAACTGGATTACCTCTACTGGCTTCAAAAAAAGAACTAGTTCTTTAAATACTATTTCCTTGAGATTGCTTAAATGGTTAAAATATAATTTTATAAATGTAATTTGCTGGAGATATTTTGAAGGTGTAAAAGGTTTCATGCAATTTTCTAGTGTTTTATATATTTGTACAAAATGTTCTAGTGTTTTTTTTCCTGCATAATACTACTTCCAAAGAAAGCTTTTTTTTGAGATATACAGTGGTTTATAAAATAACAAAGGTCCCACAAACCTACTCACTACTTTTTAAAGATCTTTTTTAAGGCAGCACTTTGAGTCATTAGCACATTATATTTTAATATTAAATCCATGGATTGTGTATGTTATACAAAATATTAAAAGGGTCCACTGGAGAAAAAAATATGGATTAGTTTCTGTTCTCCCTTTTTGTATTACACAATAACCATTCCCTACTTGGTTTATAGAGCCAAAGAAAAAAATGGCAGCAAGTGCTCAGCTGCCTTTCCTCTATAGAAAGTGTTTTTGCAGGGAAGCAACAGCGATATTCAAATCAAGGCATCTGCTGTGAGGTGAGATGTAGAGCTGCAGAGGGAGCTTATTTTTTATTTCCAGCCTCTGTGCTCTGTGCTGTGAAAGGAAAGAAAACACATCCTGGTTTAGAGTGTTGCCAAAACATGGTGCAACTCAGTAAGTAAGCAAAAGAATATTTGAACTATTCAAATGAAGGGTTTTTACAATTTATATTCCTATGACAGTGCGTTTTCTATGTCTTGATCTTCTTGAGATCAGCTGGTAAGTTTAACAGAAAATGAACAAACCAGGCATTAGTGCAGTGTTGCTGATGAGCCAGAGCTTTAGTATTAAAAATATTTCTCAGTAAGGTTCCTTTTAACCCATTCCCTGAATCAAATACATGCCTTCAGTCTGAGACTTCATGGAATCACAGGATACCAGCTTGGAAAGGACCTCAAGGATCACTTGGTCCAGCCTTCTTTGGCAAAAGCACCTTTGGTTCAGGCAAGATGACTCAGCCACCCAATCAGGCAAATCTTATTGTCCAGCACTGGGGAATCCAGTGTTTCCCAGGGATATTCCAAGGGCTGGTTGTTCTCACTGTGAAATCAGCACTCACCAGAGCTTCTACAGTTGCTGTAGTTGACTTCTATACAACAAGGTTCTCTTCCACACAGAATGTGGCTGCTTCCTCCTCTGGTCCCCTGCCTGCACAAGTGCCCTGTGCATTCCTGCACAGCTCCAGCTTCAAACCTGAGGAGCAACATGAGAAAGAAGGGAAGACAAATACACAGCAGTGCTTTCTTGTCATCATAAATATCTTTATTGTGAAAAATACCATAAAATAATTCCCACAGTTCTAGAAAAAACAGTTCTTGCTTTGTAGATTTATGATTCCATAGAAAGACATTTTATAATTTGAAACATTTGATAAATCTCTGGCTAACTTTACTTACCCTTCTTAAAACATGAAACTGCTACTTAGTAATTTGCTGAGGGCAAAGAAAAAATTATCCTCCCATTAATTTTGTTGCGGCTTTATGGATAAAAGTGTGTATTACAGAGCAAACAATACCTTAAAATAAGGCACTTTTAAATACAACTAACCTGCTATGCTATCCTGGCTAGTTTCCAGCAAAGCTCCTATAAATCACAACCCTAAACAGAAGAATAATTCTTGTTCCAAACACCAGTCTGAAAACTGAAATTATAATAAGTATTAGGGTTTGTTGTTTTTTTTTTTTTTTTAAAGTTTAAGCTAACACATTTTCTGCATGTCACAAGTTTGAGCTCTTCAATTTGTAATTCACTTTGAATCTCTTTTAGTATTGATCGATTATTGTATCAGTATTTTACCAAGTAAAATATGCTTCCCCCCCACCTTCATTTTAAAACAAGTTGGAAACGAGTTTATTAAAACTGAAAGAACTCCACAGAGAAAGTTTGCATCTACATACAGGCCAATGATGGGAACAATGCTTCATGCACATCTCAGGGTTGACAAACTACCATGAGACATTTACTTCCATGTTCAGTTGCTGAACATTATTGCACTACAGCCACCCACGAATAAATAAAAAGGCGAGTTCAGCTTCCTCGCGTGTCGCCTGCATCATTAACACTCAGCATGGGACCAGCACTTCATTTGCCAGAGTCATGTCAGGAAATGCAGCGCGGAGTTGGAGAGCCTTGCAGCATAATGGTTTCTTTTAAACACAATTTTGTCTGTTTTTCCAGAATACCTCAATGCCCTTCAAAACAGCACCGAGGTGGTAACACTTGTTGTGCACTGCAGCTGCTCAGTACCAGGAAAGCCTTGTTCTCCACTGTCACACTTTGCTATTGTTTCCAAGAACCTGTCTTCCAACAAAAGGAATCTATGAACAGCAATCATGCATTAATTGTCTTCCTCCTTCTACTGACTACATTCAAGCTTTTTTGTTCTTGAAATGTAATTTTCCCATTCCCATTCATTCATTTTCAAAATGCACACGGTCCTTTTTTGTTCCTCTCTGTCCTGCTGCCTCTGAGAAACAAACCCACACTGCTCCAACATCAGTGCCTTGTATGAAGAATTTACTCATGAGGGAACATCTTTTTCCTTCTCTAGACAAAAAAAAAAAAAATTAAACCTCAGGAAACAATTCTCTCAGCTCCAGCTTTTACAGCTGCACAAGGGCAGTCCTTTGAAAGAGAACTTACTGCCAGCAGTCCCCTGGCACACAAGCAGAGCTGTCTGTAGTCTTTACTGTGACGTCCCATAGCCCAGCCACTCCTGCATGTACAACATCGGGCACATTGCTCACGCTGCTCATTCAACACTCATTTAAAAGCAGCCCCTGCTGTAGTGAGCAAGGCAATACAAAAGTGTTCCAATGGCTCACACACAACGCCAGGGCCAGCGCAGCTGGGTGGAGTTCACCCCTCCGGGCGCAGGGCTGACAAGAGCAGCAGGAGGTCACGGACAGCTGCCCCCACAGCTACCTGCCCAACTTGAGGAACTGCCAGCAAGCAGCAGGTGCACAGAGGCCAAGCCCACAGGGCAGCAGGCTCCTCACTGTGCAGCCAGCTCCTGTGTCTGAGCCCCAGCCCCTGAGAGCTGTGCCAGCCTTGAGCGCTCTCTACAGCCCTGAGCATCTCTAACACTTCAAGCAAAAATGTTTCCGACATGTAACAAGCACAAGCTGAACTTGTAGAAAGTTATTCAACTTAGTGAACATCCAACGCTGGAGTTTAAGAGGCTGCTGGGGTGGTTTTGTACCATAAACCATGAGAAATCACCACACAACCTCCTCAGTTTGAAGATAAATTTCTGAACACTGACTTTTAAACTGCTGTTGAAAAACATTTTACAAAGCTGCCTGGCCTCGCCACTGTGTTGGTGAAGTACTTGAGGCAGGAGCCAAGGGTTCTGCTTCTGCTACAGTAAGAAACCCCTCCCTTTCAGACTGAAGGCCTTATTTGCTTATTTCATTTGTTTTACTGAGGCTGCTTAGGTTTTCAAGTTGAAGTGAGAGAAGACTCCTATCAACTGATTATTGTTTTCCAGTTAAAATCCAATCAAGACAACACTGATGAACTGTAATTCTTGCATTCCAAGAAAATGGCTGCTGATGAAACTCAGTAATTATGGCAGCAATTATGACAGATGAAGTTACAGAAGGAGAAGACTCCTCACTCCTACCAGCTGCAGCCCTGGTAACACCACACTGCATTCACACGACTCCACCAACTACATCCAACCCATTTTAAGTACATGCATACAGAAAAAAAATTAGAAACAGACTTTTGGCTAGTGGGAAGTGAGTCCCTCTTTTTGCACACAGCTGTCTCTGCAGTACCAATGCTGTTACATGAAACATAAAATTACTACAATTTCATGTAGTACTAACTCCCTGTTGCATCATCCAGCAGAATTGAAGTTGTATTGCAGTGTAAGGCTGGAGTTAATATCACATTCCTGCAGTACTCACATCACAACCTGTCTCAGTTCTGACTTTATGTACAGAACCAACAAATTGCTGCAGAGTCAGGGAAGTGTCACATCAAATTTTCTGCTCCAATCTGAAGCAGATATTTTGTTGAAGTGCAAACTACTCAAAAATCATACCTAAACAAACACCCAAAATCACATTCAGAAAAGAAGTGGTCTGCAAAACAAGTCTTTCCCCCCATCCCCATCTCACTGTTGATAATTCCACCAAGGAAATCACGCCCAATTAATTTCAGGTTAGTGAACAACAAAGTGAGCAGGTATTTCAGATGCAGTTACTCCCAAGCACTCTTTGTCCAGAGCGATTGTTGGGACTGGTTCAGTGCACAGCCTCTTCCCCACCTCTGGCACTGTCAACACCGATCCAGCAGGTGGTCACTTGGGTTTCCTCTTGAAAATACTGGGAGATGGATCATTCTGCTGAGCACAACCAACAGTTTGTTAACGTAGAGACTACTGTAACTACCCTTGTCATGTTTATTAGGCCCCAATCCACAGAAATATTTACATGCATTTTTATCTTTAAGCATATACTTGAATTCTAAATTTAAGTGTTGTCCTAAGGAGCATCTTACTGCTTTTTCCATTCGTAGGAATAAACGTGTCCTGCATATCCACAGCAAATACATAGGCAGCACAACCCCCATCAGTGTGAGCTTGTCAAGCTCATCACAAACCAAAACCAACAAAAGAAAAAAGGAGCTTCCTTCTAGTGCAGTAAGACTCTGGGTTAAGGACAACATTATAGAAATTAAGATTTTGGGTCTTGAACTGAGAGACTTTTTATTTTTCAATGAATTAAGTAAAAAACAGCAGCAGCCACGCAGAAACAGTCTTGGCTCTAACTGAAGTGAAATTTGAATGTAAATGGTCCTCCTCCAGAACCAAAGGGGTTGAATCCTTGCCATGTGTTCCAGCTCCTGTGGAAAGGGTTGTTGCCTCCCTGCTGACTCTCCGCATCCAGTGGGTCCTCTCCTGCGTCAAACTTCCGCCTCATTTCTGGAGGAAACAAAACAAAGGTGGAATCATGGCACAGTAACAACAGGGTTTCCCCAGAGTACTTAGTTGCTGTTATAATCAAAATGCAGTTTGCAATAGCACTTGAAGCAGGAGACACACATATCCTTGACATGAGTATATCCGAGTTGGTCAACCCTAGAAATCTCTACAACATGTTATCCCCAGAAGAGACCTTCAAAATGTAATTTTTATTTGACTTTTAACAAAAGTCACTGAAACACAATAAGTACAGATTACATCTGACTTCCTGCAACAGATTGGATACAAGTATTAGTGTACTGCTTTCTCAGTAAGAGATGGGTAAGGGCAGAAAGGGAGAAAGCGAAGCTGAAGTGCTTGTTATGACTTACACGTTTGTTTCAACCTTGATGTAAAAAAAGTAACTAAATATAAGAAGCCACTGCATCATTACCTGGGTCAGTGAGGACTTCTTTCGCAGCTGCAATATCAATGAATTTCTTCTCTGCTTTCTTTTTTTCTTCCTCGCTCTGGAAGTTATCAGGGTGCCACTGGGATGCCAGCTTCCTGTAAGCTTTTATGATTTCTTGCTTTCGAGCATTTCTAGATGAATAAAATTACAGATAACTTCATTTTCTGATTGCTCATATGCCACACTAATGAAGTTTACTTTAAACACTGAGACACTAATTAAGGGCATCAGGAAAGTTATGAGGTGCTGTTAACCTTCTGCAAGTGGCATTGAAGACTCTTTACACAAAACAAAGGAAACAAGTTGCAACCTTAAGCAAAGATTTCGCACTCCTTCACCACCTTCCTTCCTTCACCACCCATATGCTTCTCTTGGAAAGATGCTACTGCCAGTGACTCTGCAGAATATAGTTCTCAGTCTGAGGAATTTACCATCAGATGAATAACAAAAAACACATCAAATTAGTTCACAATTGGAAGGATGACTAATACTAGTTCAGAACTTTGCTTGCTCCTCATTAGCAAGGGAAGTTGTTCAGTCACTCCTTTAAGACTCTTCCAATCTATCACACTATGCCACTATTTGTTACTTTTAGTAATTCTTGCCAGTCTTCATTTCTTCCCCAACTCATCAAAATGACTCAGGGTCATCTATACTAAGAATTTCTTCCTAACTTCCTCTCCTCCTGCTGTTGTTTTTCAATTCCTTCTAAAGGAATTGTAAACAAAAGCCACTTTACAAGCTGAGCACTAAAAATTAGTACAGCAGAAGAGTGAAGATAGCAAGATATAGAACAAAAATTCACACTCAGCAGAACAAATTCAAGTGATCAGCCCTAGAAGTACTGGTTTAAATAACCACCTTTCACATCATCATCTCTGGAATTAGTATCTCACCTTTTCACTCCCAGGATTTTATAATAATCCCTCTTCTGTGATTGCTTCAGCATTCTCTGGGCACGTTCCAGCCCTTCCCGAATCTGCTGGTCATTTTCACTTTTGGCTTGAGCAGTCTCATAGTCCTTAATAGCTTTTATAAAAAATGTCAATGAAAAAAGGTTTCACTACTCTACAAACTTTCAGTTAAAGAACTCAGCCACTCAACAAAACTGAAGCTTCGTTATTACCATACAGAAACAGCAGAACTTGAGTTTCAACTTTACATGTTTCGGGGTTTTTTTTCTAAATTAGAAAATCTTGGAATAGAGGAAATTCACTTTCACACATGAATTAGGTAACTTTCTTTCTTTAGGTTCATCACACTTGTGGGAAATAAAAAAGAAGGGAGAGTACCAATGTAGGTCACAACATTGTCTGGACATTACTACAGCCACAAGGATGAACATAATGAGTATCTCGGACTGGGATGAAGAAACAGAAACCAAGAAGAAAGATTCAGTAATTAGTACTTGAAAAGCCCACTGCACATTAGTCCCACATTGTTGTTCAAGTGAAGGAGGATTTAACCGGAGTCCTTAAATGAATATTTTCTTCTTCCCCAGTCTGCACTCAATCAATACAATAGAAAGTCTCTTCCTCTTTAGTGACTATAAAGACAGATTTCAGACTACCAGTAAGTTCACATTGTTAACAAAAGGCAAATACTGGCTTTTTACACCTCTGCATGCATAATATGCAAACAGTTATATTTTAGCGGGTTTTTTTCCCCAAAGGCATGCTCTCACTTTTATTTCAAGAGTTTAATTTCTCAGGAATGAAAGGAAGAAAATAAAATTTTTAAGAAATTTGAGGTCTACACTTCAAGTAAATTCTGTAATTACTGCAAGTGCAAGACACCAAGTTTACACATCCTTTAATTCCAAAATTTATCAAGGGAAGCAAGTTGAAGTCTTTAATAAGATTGCTCTTCTTTCACTGTTATAATAATCCTCAAGGTCTCATTCGCAGATCCAACTCTCTTAGGTTTCTCAAGTTAGACAAAGTACTTGCATCAGATTATTTCCAAGCAGATGCTATTTCTCAGCAGGTGTTACATTTGTTTTTCACTGTTTCTGAGCAAGACAGCAGGAAGTGCTAATGAATTTGTATTACCCAGACATCTGATACCACTGCAATCGTGTTTCAGTTACTGAAAAAAAAAAACTCTCCAAAAAGTATTGCCAGAGCCCAAACAATTTCCTAGGCTACTACAAACCAAACGAAATTTCTATTCATTTTCACATCACAGGACACCGCTTTTGCTGCTTAAAGCATTCTGGCTTCTACTGGTATTTTTAATAATTTGTCCAGTCATTAAAAAAACCCCAAAACAGGAGCGTGCACTAACACTTGTGCTGAATATATGCTATCAAAACTAGTAAGAGCAGCAAAAATGCAGAGATTTCATTACGCTGCTTTATTACACCAATAATGTTAAGCCCCACTGAACTTCATCTGATTCAGGTAATTCTAGGAGGGGCTAGCAGAATGTCCTGCCAAATGCAGGTCAGATTGCTCAGCCTCACTGAGCACCACATCACCTACAGCACCATTGTGGGAAACCTGCTCAGGGGTCAACTACCTGATACCATGACAGTATCAGATTTCTCTTCTTTTTTTCTGAATCAACTTCCTTATTTAAGGACTGCAAGCATTAAGCACAAGGGAAGGTGTTTTCAGTGCTGCACACTGCAGAGGGAATGCATCCAGCACACTTTGCAAGTACATATTGCACTTTCCCTCCTTAATTTTGATGGTACACTTCAGTATAGGGATTTTCCTCTTTCAGAGAGTTAAATGCTCTCTCCATCTGAGGGGTGAAGGTTAGAAGCAGGTGGAAAAGGATGGCAACTTCATGACCACAAGAAGTTTGCTATGAAGCCAGGAGACTTATTACTAATTCCTACTATGTCAAGTGAGATATTTAATCAATTCTTTTGAGTCACTATTTCTAAAAGCAGTAGTACCTCAGAAGCAAACAGAAGAGTCACTGCTGCTTCTTACTGGCCTACTATTTCAGAAAACTTCCTTTCATCCTGCTCCATAATGTGAAAGGAACAACTATTCCCCCAGTGTCACTTTCAGTTTAAATACTTCACTCAAATCTAACTCTCATTATTTCAGTACAAGAATCTTCATGATCTCTCAAAAGGTAATCATATTGTATCTCTAAACAACTTTGCTGGCTTTGGTATCTTGCCTGAGTTTTTAAAATGGTGACATATTAATTCTGTATGTGGAATGATTGCCAATTTCCCATCAAACAGGAGTAACTGCAGACAACCTACATCCATGCCAAGACAGTTAAGAGAAATAACAGAACTGTTTATGCTCTTACTGAAACCTATACAGTAGTAGAGTGGGGAGGGGAAAAAAGAAAACACAAAAATTAGTATGTTCTGACCAATTTTGAAATAGCAAGGCAGGTTTTTTTCCTTTTTTCACAAAACCTGTCCTCTAGACAGATAGACTCCTGTACTTATGAGGTATGCCAGAAATGGAGTCATTAAACATCTGTCTCTGTAGACAAGCCCTGGATCCCATGTGATTATGAAGTAATTAAAACCATCTCATGAACCCAGCTATACAAAGTGAACTGCATCTTGAACACTTAACAATAATCACCTTCCAAGTTCTGAATTACAAGTACTTTGAAATTTCATACCTTTAACAGGAAAATAGGTGCCTCCAGCTTGAAAATATTTTTGAGGGAAGAATGAGAATAATTTTGCCCTTTTAAATATGAGACTACAATTTTAATTGCTCTGGTGTTCTCTATGGCAAAGAGAAACCAGCCATCAAAAGATAAATGAAGACACCTCCAGGCAGATGAACAGTAATGGGCTGTAATGCTGTTGATGGAGGCTCTGCTGGAAGGCAGAGTATAACTACATCCACCTCGCTGCTGTCAAGGGCAGGAGGAAGGCACAGGAGATGTTACACAATCTGGAGTTCTGCTCTAGCATGGTTCTTCACTTGGAACCCAGCTAGGCCAAGCCCAGCAGGCACCAGCACAGGAAATAAGCTCTCACAGATCCCAGCTATGAACTCCGTTTCCTTACATCCTATAACAGGGAGGCATTTGCCCCAGCACAAGACCAGGCTGGCTGTCTGCATTTGTGCAGAACTTTGTTAAAAAAACTTTTCTTTCTTCCAATTTGCTACAGTTTGAGTCATCTCCCTGGAGGTATTTAAAAGTGATGCAGATATGGCACTTGGAGACATGGTTTAGTGGTGGACTTGGCAGTGCTGGCTTAATGGTTGGACTTGATAATCTTAGAAGTCATTTCTATCACTCCATGTAACAGGATGCATTGTACAGAAATTCCATATGGAAAATGCAGCCTCAGGAATAGACTCAGTTTACTCTCTGAGCAACACTACAGAGATCCACGGAGGAGAAGCAATGGCTGTTACCGTCTTCTGCCCGCAGCACATGCTAGAGAATAGAACAGTATTATTTATTGCTGCCATCTCAAGACATGAAAATGGAGCTCCTAAAATGGATTTACATTACCCTAACTCTAATTACCTTTTACCTCTAAATGCAATTCTCTGACACTGCTGATTATATAAATGTCTCTGAGTTGAGTAATCTGCACAGTCTCATAAAACATCCTGAACACAGTCCACTGTTGTAAAGACAACTCTGCTGTAGATAAAACAAGTACATTCCACTTACATTAATCAAGACAAAATTACCATCAAGTATTTTTGTAAATCTGCAACTACCAGCGCTAATTAAGGATAACATGGTGTAGAATCAAAGTGCATGTTAAAAAAAAAAACCCTTTGAAATGCTGACTACATTTTAAATGTCCGCATTAAGTATATGCCACCAGCATACAAGCGTACCTTCTTCATACATGTCTTCTAGCAAATAAGCTTCTGCTCTGTCTTTCAGGGCATTCACATTGGCTGGCTCCAGCTGCAGAACTTCTGAACAAAGTTTGATGGCTTCTGTAGCCTGCTGATTCTAGAGAGGCAAAAGTAAAACCAAACTCATGTAGTTGTGGAAGTTTTGTTTCATGTTTGTCTTGAAGACATTTAGAGGGAGATAAGCAGAATTACCTTTGATAAGCAGTGACAGATCCTTTCTTTGGCACGAGTAGAATAAATTGGGACTTCTGGCTCAGTTTTCATTACAGACTCATATTTACTGATAGCATCTTCATACCTGTTTAAATCATAAGGCGTAATATCATGAAATGTAACCACTACCTCAGGGTGTTGTGTTTTATTTAAAAATTCTTAAAATTCATAGATTCTCCCATCCTCCTACCAAAGGACCTTCCCTTCAATAGCCTTAAAGGTGAGGGGTGAAACAACAGTACAAAGAAAACGTGCAGGCACTTCAAGAATTACATTCCCGTATCCTTTTCTGTGCTGAGAGACAGAAGAGCAGGTACTACGCCTGTCAGGCTTATGCACAAGGTAACAACAGCAATCCTTCCCCATGCACAGCCAAGGGTCTCCAGATTTGCCTCCTGTCCAACATGACACTCCACTTCAAAATAAGCATCTCCCCCACTGATACCTGAGATGGACTCAGCTCTGTGCTCACAGTAAGGGTCCAGACTATCTGCACACTACAAAAGGTACCTGTTCACAGAGGTACAAAAAAGCTTCTTATGCCAGTTTTAATCAGGGAAGTTTTCTCCTTTTCTTCTTCACAAGTCACACAGTAAAGTGTTATTTTGCTGTGAAGGCCTCAAAATGCTAAAGTTACATGGTTTGAGCGACAAACAGATTAGAACATTTACCTAAATTTACAAGAGTGAGATTGAATTCACAGGTTGCTACAAGTTAGAGAAATGCAAACTCTCAGACTCCCTGAAACTTCGCTGATGCTGGATTAAATAAGTGAAAAGAGTCCAAACAAACTTCTGGCTTAATAAAAGTGGCATCAGTTGTGCTTATTCACATTCCTGATGTACTTCATTTAAAAAAGCCACCTTGACAATGTCTAATGATTTCTTCGGGGTCCTTACAGCTGAATGTCATGTGTTTGGGAATATGTTTCTGCTGCAGAAAGAACTTAAGTATGCAAAAGGGACACAGTGGCATCAGAAGGAATGAGAATAGAATAGTTGCTATGCAAGCCAATATTTATTTTAATTGTAATTTGAGAGCTCTGCTTAGTACCCACTTCAACTGACACATGCAAAAAGCATCACTTTAATCAGCTCCTCAATCAGTAAGTTGGTGCTCCAATTGTGGGTTTTTTTCTATTTTTTTTCCCTTTTATATAGCAGTGAATACTTACCTGCCTTCTCTGATGAATTCCTCTGCTGACTCGATCTGCTTATTGAGTTTCTTTACTTGCTTATAGAGAGAGAAGCACTGCTTATGGTCTTGGTCCAGTTTCAGACACTCCCGGACCTCACTTTTCCCAGGGAGGTAAGGAGAAGTGGGGGAAAAAAAAAACAAACAAACAAACCACACCTAGGTCACCACACACCATGAAATGTTACCTGAAGACACAATGAAGCATATCCATAAACTGTTCAGAACAACACTTGAGTTCTTTCACAGATCTCTCCATCCAAATATTAATATAAAGTAAGACCAAAAAGAGTCTTCCAAAATATACAGGGACATTTATCTGGGTTTGGTTTTAATTCTTTTGTATTGCCAAACCCACAAAAGACTAAATGCTACATGAATAAATGCTACATGACTAAAGAGCTGAAGAGTACCTTTGAAGAAAAAGGCACTCTGTGAAAGAAATTATATTCATCAGTTATCAGAGGAATAGATAGGAAAATTACCATCAATTGTAACTCAGATATATTACAAAATTCCTACATTCAAGTGTTGCTTGAAATAGAAAGCTCAACTAAGACACAAACCTCCTTGATGGAATCTCAGCCAAGCCTGAGGCTGATGTTTCACCATGTTTAATTAGACTCTGATTAGGGAAAATATGTGTTAAAATAGTCCAAAGTCTTAAAAAAAAAACCCATAAAACCTCCAGAATGCAGCCACATGAAGGAATAAATGTTTTGGATCCCATAGAGTCATCATAGCACAACCACTATGTCAATTTCAGGAAGAGATTACAAAATCTTGTTTTGTTCCTAAGCACAGACAAAAATATCTTACTATTTGAAAATAATTAGGCCTTTAAGAGGAAGAAACTAAGGGAAGGACAAGAGATAGCACTCAGCAAGTCCAAGAGCTATAGAACTCTTTCTCAGCATATCTCATGACACAAAAATTAATGGTATCAGATAAGAATAAAGAGACTTATCCCTTTCTTTCTGATTCCGTTCTGTTCTTCAACAATGCCCTCAATTGTGCTTTTAAATACCACCTATACTTGAAATCACTGGGCAAAGTGATGGTCACCTCCCAAATGTCATCACAGAAGTGACTTATGAGCTCACAAGATTAAGTAGGCTCTGGAAAAAGAATGCCTAATGCAAACCAATTACTTTCATGTTTACTTTTGGCTAGCTATAAAACGAACTTTTTCAAGTATAATCACATGCAGTTTCCATCTGCCAAGAAAAGACACACGGGCTTTTTCAGTTCTCTTCACCTTATTGAAGGGACTCTGTGGCAGAAATCTTATTAGAAGGATTCTGGAGATGAAGGCAGCACATCTGAAATTATGACTGGCACAAAAACCACTTCTGTGCAATAGGAAGAATCCCATCATTTGTGCGGCTTGGCACAGAGCACAAACTGAACAGTCCCAATTGGACAAGGGCAGTTATCTGCCAGATAGACTAGGGACATATGGGAATAAGACCTTAAATTTAACTCAGTATGAATAAAAGGACAGGGCATTATCAAAAAGTCACCCAGGACTGTCTGCAGGAATGAGAGGCAAACAGCTTTGCACCCCAAGTTCTTCATACTTGGATGCTCCTGTACTTTTTATTTACTCTTAAGCTTGCAACACAAATGTACACATCTTCTGTTTGCATCTTAAACTTAACTTCAGTAGAGATTTAAGGTTAAAAAAGCTCCACTACAGAAAATTTAGAGAAGCACTTCCTTCTAGGAGAAATACAATGAGAACAGCACTTGTAAGCAACTCCGATGGAGAGGGACTCTGGCTTCTGTTTGAGGAAACAAGATGCCTGGAACCATTCATGGCTGGTCTTTCCAACAAACATGGGTTTCTTCACTGCCAATCAGTTTCTAGAAAGAAACTCCCTTGATCAGATCTAGACCACAGTTGATTCTCCATCCAACCCTCACACAAGAGATACTTCATGGTTTATCATTACCTATATATTTTCTGTCTCAATTATAATGATTACAGCAAATAGTAAAATTACCTGAGAGATAATTCATGGTCCCCCAGCTGATAATATATTCTGCTGATTTTATAGAAGGCTTCAGTATTATCATTCTTTAATTTGGCAGCAGCTTTCAAGTCACTAATGGCTTTGCCTGGTTCCCCTTCCTTTATGTAACACTCTGCTCGAAGTTCCCGTAGCTCTGCATCCCAAACACAAACCTTGAGAAATCAAAATTAAAGCTTGTTTTTGGTCCATAACACTTCACGTCTTTTCTTCCCCAAAAGAAAAATCCCATTTAATTTCACTTTGCCAACTGAACAGCATAAGGTTCAAGCTGCATGCAGAGCTCATGAAATTAGCATCTCTGCTTCCTGGTGGATGCTGTGATGCACCTGCCCAAATAGAAAAACAAAGGCCTGAAAATTTTGTAAATGATGCAATGAACTCATGCAGAGAGATGAATTAAATCTACTGGCATTGCTTAAACTAGGACAGTCTGTTGAGCCTCCAGGAAAGGATATCAGAATAATAAATTATTGTATCTTCCCAAAAGAATAGAGGTAATGAACAGCAAGGACCAAGCTGCCGGTTGTCCTCTAGGAAGCAGCCTGTGGGTAAGATGCAGCTCCACCAAGTTTGACCTTAATATCTGGATTTTAACAATAAAGAGAGGTAAAACTGTCACAGTAAGGCAAAACTAATTACTCACAAGGAACTGCCTATCAAAATTTGATTTAGGGAATTAAATCTGTCTAAGTCTTATCAGTTGTTTGGAAATGATCCTCTTAGAGCAGGCTTTCCTGCTTTTCCATAAACCAATTCCTGCACTGTAGCAGTTTCATCACCAAAAGTTCCAAGGTTGTAAACTCCAAGTCAACACCACTAATTTGTATGTGCAGAGTCATAGCAGTTGACTGTCTTTTAGAATATTTCTATATGACACACAAAACGCCCACATGATTGAGTTATTTACACTTGCACTATCAGGAAATTTACACCAATTAAGATTCAACAGATAGAGATACCTAAGGAACAAGATGAAAATTCAGCTAGCTATCTACATTTTTAATTTTGTAGGGTTTTTTTTAATCTTTTTTTACTTCACTTTCTCAAGACAAAAACTGTCGGCATATATGCAATGAAAAATCCAGATTAAAAAATCCTGTAACTTCTATACTTGATGAAACTCCATTGATTTCAGAAAAACTTCTTCCCAGCTTCCCCAAGAAGAGCAAATTGTAGAAAAACAGGAAAGTATAATCAGTAAAGTTATCTGTAATTGAGGTTTCACTGAAGTATCTTTAAGACAGACTATGACTTCTTCTGCAGCTAGTGCTCAGCCCTCTCCTCTCTCCAACACTATTACAGACCCACAGTGCTCAGCAAAACTAAACCGGTTACACCAAAGTTATCTTCACATCAGTAAAGAAACTTCAACAAAAACAAAGATGTCAGAAGCTCTTACTTTCACAGTACCATCTGACTTAACACTTACTGCCAAGATTTCATCAAGAAGAGAAATAGCAGCTTCGTAATCCTCTTGCTGGTAGGCAGATAATGCTTGTGAATGTAGGCGCTGCAGCTCATCAGATTTTGTCAGCTGAGTCTGGGCTTCTTTTTCCTCATTATTGCTAGGATTGGATTTGAGCTGCAAACATGAGCAAGGAGAGAGACTCAAATGCTTGTTCAAGAATCTCTTTCAGTCCCACAAATAATCATATCATGGAGAACTGACTAAAGCTGAGAATAAAACGAGTTTCAAAACTCCACCAGAAGCATTTCTACCCCTGAACTTCAAAAGAAAGAAACATTCTGAGATGCAATGCAAGATGTCAGAAGTCAGAAATCCAATTTTTCATGCTTGATCAATCATCACCAGACACATCATACACAACAGCCACTGTCCCCCATCACCTGCTGGACGTTGTGAACCTCCTTGTAACCTAATTAATTCACCTCTGCTATCAGCTGTTAAATGCTGGATTTCTCAGCAGCAATAGACAGTGTAACCACGCAGCATAATTTCATCTCTCACTTTAAGCACTATATATATTTATAACTTCATAACAGAAATAAATGAAACATGTTCCAGACAGTTGTTACTGTGAAGCTGTGTTTCTCGCATTTTCCTCACAAAGAGTGGCTGCAGCAGCAAGGTAAGTGGCTACAACCAGGGAAAAGACTCAGCTGGGCAGTCATGCATTCTGTTTCTTACACAGTTTTAAATAAGTCTAACATTTTGTCTACAAGGACTCTCATTTCCCTAACCCCTCTCTGAGCAAGTGGAAGTCGTTACATTGTACTTGTCTCTTTCATTTAGGCAGGTTTATCTTTTCAAAGAAAAATTTTAAAAAGATCTTTCAGGCAACTTTACTATCACCCAGAAAGATACACATGGCCAGAGAGAATCTCAGCCATTCCCTTGCAAAGTCAGGGAATTTGTAGCATTACTGTAGCTTGAAAGAAGCACCAACTTCATACTTGTTGCTGATCAGAATGACTTTCAAAGTTTAAAAGGGACAAATTACCACGACTTTTTTGTTTGTTTTTAAATAAAAAATTGCACTATCTTGCATTCTGTACACAGAATGTGAACTGAAATCACTCAGAGACATCCAATACTTTTTTCTTTCCCCATTTATCTTGAAGTGGCCTCTTCCCTTTTTCTCACCAGTAAGAAACACAAAATACATGTCTTTCAAGAACTGTCTCTAACATAATTCAACTTCAGCCCTCAGAAGTCCTTTACCAGACTTTCCCCTGGTTCTACCACTTCAGTATATGAAAGGAAAGAGCCTAAATGATACATCAAATCATGCACAGGTCCCACACTTTGTCTTCAATTCCTCTTTATAAATCTTTCTGAACCTTATGCAGTTTTTCATTTTACCTGGCAAAAATCAAGTAGCACTTAGACCTGAAAATTCTCCTTTATTCCCTACATTGTCTTTCAGCAAGAGGAGCGGAATGTGATCAAAGAGTTTTCTTTCTTTGTAGGATTCTCAATCTAAGTCTCATAAAGCTTTTCTTCTGGTTAGAACTCTGCCTATAAGCCCTTGATGCTGTGCATCCACTCTCTCCCTAAAATCTGGAGCTTGTAGCAGTGGCAAATTTCTGCACCTGTAATTTCAAAAAATACCAAGTCTACAAAATTCTCTGAAGTTCTGAACTCTTTAGTTTCAGAAGACTTGTTTGATTTCTTCCTTAATTCCTCAGCATCTTCTTCCTAAAAATTAAAAGCCTTTGATATGGATGAGCCTTACACTTCCATAAAAACTTATGATAACACCATACTCCTTAGACTCACGGTATGTTTCTTGTAATCTATTTGGAGAAAATGTCAGTGGATTATGAAAAGCAACATTACAATCATGGAGGCAAGTCCAACAGTAATCAAGACCATTTGAGTGAATCATCCTAGGCAATTATAGGTAGCACAACATGTCCAGTTAAAGACAGGGAAATTTTTCAAGATATCATTCAAATGAAAGTCATTGAGTGTGTGCTACAGTATGATGAAAATACATACTCATAAGCTCTTATTAAGTAATAGCATATTGCTATGATGTTTAAATCATTAATGTTAACTAAAGCAAAAGGAAGCCTGCTCATTCAGCTTGTGAAAAACACCCTGAAGGGAACTTAGGGAACCTCCATGGTTTGTGGTCTCTAAGACTGAGACATCCATACACTCACGGACAGTGCACAGAGAAAAGCCCTGCACTGGTAACATATCAGGTAACAGAGCTCAAATGACAGACAGATAAAAAAAAAAAAAACCAAGGAAATATTGAATTACCTTTTATTCTTTAGCTCAGAAGCTACAGATGATCACTGTAGCACAGAGAAATATATTTGGAAATATCTAATGTTATATTAAATATCTCTGATGCGGTTAAGAGAGCCTCAAACCCAACTAGATGCCTAGTAACTTAACCCAATTTGTTTAACTTACAGTGCCATAAGACAGCCTCTTCCACCTAATCCAAAACAGTACTATTACACATACCAACCAACCATGGAAAGCTGTTGTCCGATGAATTTTGCAACAGGCAAGGGTTTAGATGAGAAAGCAATTTGCAGACGTGCAGAGCTCAGTCACTTGGTCTTGGCTGACATCTAGTGGAACTAGGAGCAGTGCCTTCAGTGTCAAGCCTTGAAGTGTTTGTTCTTCCAAGGCAGACAGAATTGTGTATTTAGGACACTTCCATATACAATATTTATTGCAATAAATTGCAACTATTACAGTCAGTCTTAAAAAAGACTAAAATTTAAAAGAAATGTAACAATTTGGTCCTTTCCTCACTTTCCAATAGACAAGGCAGAAGTTCTGCTCTAATTCTGTACCTTCTATAAATTCACCAACTCAAATGCTTGCCATTTCCTCTGGAACATAAGCAGAGTCACTGAGAACACTGTAAGGCACATACATACGGCTGCCAGGATTTGCATTGTTTTTTGTCACCTTTCCAGAAGGCCTTCCATCAATGAAAGTATGCCAGTATCCCTTTTATTTTCAGTAAAAATGACATGCTTACAGGTAAAAAACATTCCAGGGCTTTCATGGCTTGAGGCCCTGGACACAAATGTTGATGCACCCACAGATCTGTCCTGCTGACTTCTATCAATCAGAAATCACTAACCCAAACAGAAGGAACTTGATATTAAAGCATATGAACACTAAACCAAAGTTGTAGCAGAGAAATAATTACTATTCATATAGCATGAGCAACAACTTTGTAAAATCAGCAAAGGACTTCTGCTTACTTCTTGTTTCATGTGGAAAACCTGACCCATGTAAAAAATTTAATCAGCTTGATTCATGTGTTAGCCAAAAGGAGAGGTTTCTAGAAATGCATGCAGTATTGCTTAATACATGAAGGCATAAGTCTGAATCACACCCTCTATCCAAACCTCATGATTAATTTCAGCCAACAGGAAAGTAGAGAGTCAAAAAAAAAAAAGATAGCTAAAAATAACACATGAATACTGAATCTCAAGAGGCTCTGCTCCCAAAAAGGAATACTGTATCCTCTGCAGCTAGGCATTTCCACTGCCTGCTCTCTCACACACTGCCTCACAAGACAGCCAGTACTGATATGCTAGAGAGAGGAGGAATATACAGAGACTCTGCTTAGCAATCAATCATTTAAAGATATTCAGGGTGCCCACCATGAAACCTTCTCCTGATACTATGAAATGATATAGAAAGAATTTGAATACATTAATTTTCTTTCCTTTTCACGAGTACACATTAAAGGACAGGTTTACTGTTTTATATGAAGAATAGTTATAATGTTTCTTTTAAGTTCTACACAAAGTCACTGGTCTGACAAGCTGCAAAAATTTACCTGTCATCCTTCCCTCCATTTAGATGGGCTGAATTTTTCTTGCTTTTTCTCCCTCAAAAATCACTGCATCTCCTAAATTACTGAGACCCCTTTTAAGGAACATGACTACAAGAGAAGGAATGGGAAATCTGAAAAATTTAGAAAACAAGGAAAACCTCAAAGAAATAGGTATTCTACTTAAAGATTTCAAGGTATGTAGCACAATTTAACCCACTCCACACATGAACAATTTAACCTATTGCAAATTACTACTTTAGTATTTACTCATTTTGCTTGAATATATTGTACTTAATATGTATTTATTACTTAATATTATTATGTACTGAAAATTATGCTTTCCAAACCAGACCACTCTAAGTACACAAACAACATTGTTTATAAAAGGAACATGGAAGTCAGATTGAGAACTAATATGCTTGTTTCCTAAATTAGCTTCTGGGAAGAAACTCTGTTCTACTTCAGACTTAAAGCCTGATTGAGTATTGTAACTATTTAACTGACCAAAGGCAGCAAATTTTTGCAGCAGGTTTGGCAATAGGAAAAGATATTTAGAGTTGACTGGAGAAACAATTCCATATGTAGCATTAAGCAATACTTCAAGAAACAGTAACTGCAAAGAGATGCAGACACAGACTCACAAGCAACCCTGACACTGCATAATTGTTACTGCAGCAACTGTGTCCTCAGTTAATCCAAGCTGAACAACTCTCTCCCACATCTGCAGACAGCTGAGCTGCGCTGCTATCAGACCACATGCTCCTAAGAAACTTACTGAGGAAGAAGCAGCCAGAGCAGCTACGTGAACTTCAGAATAAGCTGCTGGAGCTCTGCTACAGACCCAAGAACTGCCTGGTGCATTTCTACCTGCAAGAGCCATTCCCCGCAGCTGTCCTGCAGAACATACAGAATAACCACTCCAGTTTTGTCATCCACACTTACTAGTAAGATTTCCATTAAACAGCTGCTATCTGGACCACACAACTTCTTTTTTCATCACTCTCTTCAGAGACAGCCAACAAGACAGCATCTGTTACTTTGCAAATTCTTCTTATTTTGGCTTAAGGGACACACCAGCTGTTCAAACTAGCAACTCTTGAAGAGCAAGCAAGAATGAAGAATGTATCTTATGTATACACATATTTACATGAATTTTGTGCAGAGGAAATCCAGACTCACATTTTCTGAGGGCTTTTTTTTCTGGGGTTAGATCAGTTTACCTGTGCAGCATAGGACTGAAATGCACAAAATATCCATCAAAACTAAAAACAGCCCAAGTGAGTTCTAGGTATGTAATATCCAACTACTTGTAGCTGGAAACTACGATTCCAGATCATGGAGAGAAAGTACTGTCAGACATTCATGAAGATAGAGAACTCCACAAATGAGATAGAGGGATACCAGGGAAATGTACTGATTTAACTGCTCAGTGACTAAATTAAGAGTCAACAATTCTTTTGCAACCAGTAAAAAGAGATAGGAACCTGCAATGGTTGATCCATGACGTCCCTAGTGACTTCCCAGGGAGACATGAATATAGTGATGTAAACCAGAGTTCAACTACATACTTTTGAGTCCCGTATCACTTATTTTTGAATGAAGACTGCTCCCTTCAGCTACCAGCAAGCAGAGATCATGAAGTACCAGGCACACACAAGAAAGACTTTCCAAAGTGCTCCATTGTCTCAGGCAACACCACATTTCATCTGCATCACTATACTGCAACTTCACTGGTCATTTGTTCATACAAGGTTTTTTAGCTACTATGCCTGCAAAGAACAGGAAAGAAACTCAGGCCTAGATAGCATATACTCTATAGAGCATCACAGTTCAGATGTGACCCTGGCTCAGAAGCCAACTTTAAAAGTAGTTATGTAGTTCAACACTGGTCTCCAACTTACCACATTTTTAAAGTCATCCTCTGCTTCATCGAATTTTCCTTGCTTAAGCAGTAAGTGTCCTCTTTGTAATCTTGCCTGAAATGAAACATAACTTTTTATTTACAAATGGGAATTCAGCAAAGTATGAACACAAGTTTCATTTTAGTATAGCTAACAAGCTGAAACAGGGATCATGACACTCATTTTTTGTCTTTTTGATTTAAAAATATTCTTATAAGGCCTCTTCAATGGCAACGGATTGCACTGCACCAGGGCTGAGGGACAAAAAGCAGACAATTTTTATGAAAAGAACTCACGTGAGAAGTTTAACAAATCACAGTGAATGTGACCACACCACTTTCCTGATTATAACTACTTACAGATAAAATAAATAGCAGAATAAACAATTCCCACATTCAATTATTTCATTAAACTCTCAGAATAAGAGAAGCTATGTGAAAAGAAAAGTCAATGATTTAGAAGACTTTGATTTCTAATATGAATATTTTCAAACAACAGTGAATTTAACATTTGCTCCTTTATTGTCAGCTGCACAGGACATGCCACTGCCCACAAAAAAGGGAGGTGAGAGAATCAGTTGGAGAGGACTTCAGCATTGGTTTCCAACTAGCGAGGCAGTCTCCACATACAGTACACAGAATGGAGAAAGGGGTAAGCAAATCTGACCTTGCAATAGTCACACAGGAATGCAATGAGATTAGGACAGTTACTGTGGAGAACAGATACCTCAAATCTAACGCTGTTTAAGAGAAAAAAAAAACCCAGAGGCATCTGTGTGCTTTCGTCTCCCTGTCCCAAATGGCAAAGCCTTGGTGAACAACAGAATAACCACAAGTGAGAGAAGAGTTTAGTAGAAATCCATGAACTTGGTAAAACTAGTAGTTGTTCAAATAACTGGCTAGACTGTACTCAACATCGCTCCAAATTAAGGCACATATACCATTGCTATTATTTTACCCACTTTAAAGCCCTCTGATGGATAATGTATTCTCTATTCCTGTTGAGCAAAGTCTGAAAAAAATCCCAAATGTTCTTTGAAGCAGTTTTTTTCCTTACACTTGAACAAATCTTCAGTTCCAGTAATACTTACTGATGTGAAGTCCTGCTTTAATTCAACCACTTTACTTAAATCGCGAATTGCCGCTTTAGATTTGCCCATGGCTAAGTACACTGTGGCTCTTCTGTAATAAGCAATGTAGTTCTCAGAGTCTCCCTCTGCAAATGAATAAACAGTAATCAGAATACCATCTCAAAGCTACTGAAATTTCTGGTACAGTAGAACGGTAATGACTAAAAATATATCATCTGACTTTTAAGCCACTGGAAACAATGGTATACATTAATAAGACATAAAATTTGCAACATTATGCAAGCAGTATTTTCTGTGCAGTTTAATTATTTAACAACAAAGATTACACAAATACTGTAAATGCCAAATAATTGAGAGTGAAAGTCAAATATGCATGTGTTCCTCGGCTTTATATGGGAGAACAGCCTCTACGTACTAATGCTTTATCTCCAACTGCAGGCCTACATTTGAAAGTACATTAATTCATCATTTTCCAGCCCAGGTGCTGATCACCATATCAGATAAATGCAAATACTCCCAAAATTACTAATATGTTAGTGCAATGTCAACACAGACACTAACTCTTTATATCATTCACTGAAATATCAGCAACTTCTTTCTTCAGTAATAAAGTGGGCACCAACATTCCCTCTAACGAGCAGATAAATGCACACACACTACCAACATGAAGGCTAACTTCATGGCCCACACATTCCATGTTGTCTCCTGATCAAATTTCCAAGATCCAGCAACTTCAACACTCTCCAAGCTAGCACATACTCCTGTACAGGAGGCAAACATCAATCTCTGAAAACAAGAATAATATTCTTAGCATTCTTCTGTATGCAGTATTTCACAGAAACAGGTGACAGTTACTGTGGGTTCTCAAGGAAAAGTAACTTCAACCACCGAAACAACCCAATGCTGGAATACATAAAGCCTTTTACTATACAGTTCAAAACATAATAATCAATCCAGAATTTGTAGACAAGAACATTAATATCTGAGGAACAGAAGTAGTATTTTTCTTCTTCACATCATTTGAGGTTAAAGTTGAGCTTCAAAATAAATGGAAGATACAGCACCTCCAACAATCTTATGACCACCAACGAAGTTTCATAGCCTGCCACCTCCATGACCAAGAAAAAGCTATCTGCACTCTTCCTCTACAATATCTTGGTTGTGAAAATGCTAATCTCCAGAACTGAAATTTAATAGGCACTCCCATGCTGTATGCCTCTTTGTATGTCAGCATTATAAACATCAAATAAAGTCAACTGTTAGCACCCTTAAAAAAAAAAAAAAAGCAGCATTGAGTCCTAAAGGTGTAGGCTTGGTACAAATCGACAGCTGAAATTAAGGAACTTGATTAATACACAAAAGATGAAAGGTAGGAAAGAGCTAACACAGAAAGCACATTCCAGCACCAGATGATTATCTGACACATAGTTTTGCCTCAGTACTCCAGCAACAGTAATGAACAGCAATTGACACTTACCCAGACAGAAGGCATAAGCTGGGATTGAAGAAAGAGTTGAAAATTTAACTAAAGAGAGGCAATATGGACAGCAGTTTTCTTTTATTTCAGATATTTGCAAAAAAACCAAAATAGACTGGCGGAGGCAAGACAGAAAAATCTATTTACCTCAAAGTCTACAAGGATGCAGTACAGGAGGAAAGAATCCTTACCTCCTCACAAGCATAGTTGGCAAATCATGCTTAAAATCTTTTGAAAAAGGCAAAATCCAAAGAAGTCGTCTGATGAAAATGAGGCAATCAGGCTAAAATCAGTATCCAACTAAGAATCCCATAAAGGTCACAACTGAGGTGGTCACACCATATTTCTACAAACTGCTCAAGCACAGCTGGCAAAGCAGTGGGTTTCACCCATGCAGGCACCTCACACCACTGCTGCCTCTACAACACCACCAGGACCTCCACAGCCACACACTGAACTGGTCTCATCAAATCAAAGTTCAAGTTTGCCAACCAAAAACAAAGGAAAAAACCACGCTGTAGCACTAACTGTGCACAGACCCCACAGAAATGCTTTGGCGGCAGCAACACACAAACCAAAGGAGTAACAAACTGCATCTAGGTGGAACAAGGAACTTCCATAACAGAAGAAAAGGGAAGTTGCCTCCTCCCTTCTCTTTACATAAGGGAAGTTGATCTTGGAGAATACAAAGAAAATATTAGTAACTCAGAAGCAACCCATGTTTCATTTACATGTCACTATTAAACCAAGGCATAAATTAAAAAGTATCAACAGTACAACTCATCAATGTATAACATCTTAGTAATATTCTTTTCACAGAGAAAAAAATGTACTTGTACACATTATAACAAAGTCCAACAACTTAAAACGGTACCATGCAAATAAGAAACTGTAATTTAATGGACACTGCTCTTTACCGGTGCTGTCTCCATGCTTCGATTAAAGGATTTTAATCAGCTAAGTTGCTTTAAAATTCTTAAAAGCAAACACTTAACTTCTCAGTTTGCTGAAAATGCAGAACACCAAACAAGAACGAACTCACTATTTGACTACAAGAGAGGGACAATTTTGCTCGCCACTGCCAATTCACTATCTCAAACTTGCAGTACCAGTTTCACTGAGATACCACCTACTTCAAGATTTAATTAAGAAAAAAGAAGAAGAAATAGAGTGACTATTTTAAACATTGAATTTTTTACAGCATTGGATAGGAGAAAGCATGGATAAAGTCAGCCTTTCAAAGACATACTCATACTTTGAAATACATTACAAAGAAGAAACCTGATCTTGATGGGATTAGACAGACAGGGAATACCTCATCAAATAACATAAATCATAACTCCTTTCATATAGCAAGCTTCTAGAACAACAGTGACTTGTTGTACATAAGTGTTTATGTATCATGTAGTTAATTTAACAGTTTTCTTTTATCAAAACCAAAGCATAAATATTCTACTGCATCTCTGCTGGCTTCTGTCCAAACTGCTGTATAAAGATTCCCCAAATTCTGTGACTCATGGAATGCAATTTGCAAGAAAGCAGAATATTTAATGAAGCAAACAGTGGGAAAACCACACCCAAAGGTATTTCAGTAGAAGAGTCACCTCCCTGAGATACGCACCTATAGCTGCATGAAAGTGAGACAAAGCATCCGCCAGCTGTCCAGCAGCCAATAATTTCTTCCCCATTTCAAGCTGTTTTTCTACTTCTGCATTTATTCCACACTCAGCTCCTTAAGGAAAAACAAAAAGATCAAAGGTTGTGAATAACATTTTGATTACATCAAACACATACAGTGATAATACAATACACATAACAAACCATTACTGATAGAGGCAGAAGTCGCATCCTCCTGCACTTTAGGTAACCTCAGGTCTTTCCCAGCCTAAGGGATTCTGAGACTCCGTAAAGCACCCTGCAGTCTAATAACCTCATAGCATGTCCCAGTTAGGATGTGTCAAAGTACACAAGACATTGCTTTGCACCCCACTGTGACCAAATCCACACCTTCAGTAACATAGTCTGACTTTCAATTCCAGAAGAATCTGGAAAGCACTTGTAACACACACATGCAGCAAATGCACACAGGTTCTAAGTTAAAATTCATTACCCTGAAGGTAATTTAATACTTAACTGAGAACTGTTTGGCTACTTAGAGATTGGCTTCTCATCTACCACACTTGTCTCATCTTCATAATTTCCAGGGCAAACTTCTACAGGACTGCAAGTTTAGACGAACAATTAAAATTCTCACTCCTTTTTCCTTCAACCAGTAGCATGAAAACCATACTAACGTGGTAAGTCTTTGAAGTGCCAGTCTGAGTTTAAAGCTAATAAATTGCTGCTGCTCCACCAACAGGTTGAGTATTGTTGAGAAGAAATGAGCAGCCAAGTGCAAGTACGCGCTGTACGCACATCAACTCAGCAACAGCTTTTTCATTTGTCCCGCTCCCTGCAGTCTTCAGATCAGGGCAGAATTCCACTACAAATTACCCACCAGCTTATGACTATTAAAAAATTTGCACACTAGAAAAATTTTCATTCATTAAGAGGATACCCTATGCCTAGATTTAAGCAAGGCAATATACTAAAATCCTCAATAAGCACATTATATTAAAACCCAATTATTTATAACTTATTTCACTCAGGTTTTGCATTGAGCTGATTCAGATAGGCACTTTAAATATAAAAATGCAGCAGCACTCCAAAGTTGTTTCTTAAATCCAAATAAAAATGTTACAGTACAACTCATTGAAGGAAAGTATATCCAAACTTCTCACACTGAAAGGTGGTTAAACAACAATGTATTTGTAACGAACAAACAGGAACTTCTTATCACCAAATCATCACAGTTTTAGATGTAGGAGCTCTCAACACCTGGGATCTTATGTTTTCTTTTCTACTCCATTATACAGCTCACAATTCTTTTAATTCCACATTATAAGAAAATCCTTGAGCTGTCTATACTAAAATGAACAAAATCTCCTCTGCATCCACTAGAGAAAGTTCTATCTGCTGAAAGGCTGACAACAAGTCAGCACACTGGATTCAAGGGCTTCAACTCAATTATCTGTTTTAGAACAATGATAGAAAGCAATGTCTTTTTAATTAATGGAAATTACTTCATGAAGTCCCAAATTTCCAGTGAATATTTTTTGTTTAACTAGATGGATTTAAAACTGCCTACATGATAAATAATTATTATTTAAGGATCTTACTAAATTATTCATTTTAAAGGCAATTCTAGGCATGTAAAAATGTATTCCCATTTTATGTGTCCAATTTGCAGCAAAAAAGGACATTCTTCCTGGCCCACTTTCCTTCACTAGCTTAAAGCTTCAACCATCAAGTAGTCACAAAAAGTCAAAAGTGTCCTTTAAAATGACAGCAAGTATAAGAAACACAATGAAAAACTAAGAACTGAAAAAAAACCTCACCACAAATTTTGCTGGCTTTGGAAGCATGCTAGCAGTAAAGCAGGTATAAAACTATAAACAGACTGACAGATTTAACATGACCTAATACCAACTAAAAACTCTTTTCATCCCTTCTGTGTTTGCCCACACATAAATACCTGAAATCTTTCAAAATTTGTCACCTGGAGTGGTATCCTAGAATTGGGCTATTACTTACTCTTTGATGAACTTTCCATCTACCCAAACACAGCACACAATTCCCACAGTCTCAAGCATCCTTGTTTTACATTCAGTCACATGAGGATAGCTCCAAGAATACATTTTTCCACAGTAAGATGTACCTACACAATTTAGTGTCTTTCAAACATATGTACAGTACAGTTTTACAGTTACATAATACTTTAGGTGGAAGAGGCATCTTTTTCCTTGAAAATAATGAAGACAATTACTAAAACAAATTAGAAAGGTGCCCACTGGTAGCAAACAAGTAATAAAAACAGGAGCAACATGGCTAAAGAAAGAAGCAAATTGTGAAGTCCTCTACATACCCTGTAAAATACATTAAATATTGACATACATTAAACTGTACATTAAACCTCGGCTCTGCAAGTTGCTGAACATCATAAACTGGTGCATGAATCTCCAGGAGCAGCCTGCATCATCAGCCTAACGACGATGAAAAGTGATGTTTACCATAACTACTCAGGAACACTCTGCACTGACCTGATGGTTGGGCTGTTTATTCACAGAAATCTATTGCTTATTCATTTTCTGGCTGTAGGCAAACAATTGCTCCAAATAAAGCAGCCCACAGTAGACATCTGAAAACTGATAACATAAGCACAGGAGCCCAAGGACGCAAATTCTCTGCAACCTATTTGGGTACCTATGCACTCTTTGGTCTGGGAATGAGCCTAAGAAGTAAAGTTCAGCTGGAGCAAAAAAAACCACCAAACATCACCTCACAGAGCTCTTTACAACAGATACACATTGGATGAGCTCGGTACCACAGGCCCAGTTGAAGAAGCTCTGCATACTCCACCAAGCAACTAAATTTACCCAAGAGATGTGCAAGCTTCCCATTACTTTTAAAAACTTCCATGTATTTTAATTTGAATATAATTTCTAAAGACTGCCTAAGTGTTAAATATTCACCCTGGGCCTCAAAAAACCACACACATGAGCTGTTAAATCAAGTCAAATATTCTGGATAAATTAAGAGCCTGTAGTCCACGCAAGTCTGGGGCAAGAGTCTAAGAGTCAAAAAAAAAAAACAAAAAAAACAAAAAAAAAAAAAAAAAAAAAAAAAAAAAAAAAAAAAAACCAAAAAAACAAACCAACACAAACAAACCAAATAAACAAAAACCCCCAGACTATTTCCATATAATTGGTACTAACCCTGACAACTCTTCAAGGGACAACAATCAGAAGGTGCAGGGAAAACAAGCAGGTGCAGCTAACCTGTTTTTCCAGTTAAATACACTCACTTCAAATAAATTATAACTTCCTGGTAGGATTTTTGTTTTATTAGGACAATTGGTACTAATATGTAGGCACCCAAGTCTACAGACTTGTACTATATCCCTGTATAACTGGCCCCATCCACACTGCAAAGAACGCAAGAAAGCCCTACAACTTGAGAATAGTTTTAAGATGTTACACACTTCTGTTTTTCCCCCTGTAGAATTTCCACCTACTTTTTTTCTAAATCTTGTTTCCAAGCTGAGTAACAAGATTATGAAAATAAACAGAATTAGTTCCTACTGTGTACTAAAACCGGTTGTTTGAACAATAAAGCAGCAGCATGCATACCATTAATCTTAATTGCATTCATCTAAACCTTTATTTTTTCCCCATAGAGCTTAACGATTGCCTTATCTTGTTAGGAGAGTGGAAGATCCTGCTTTTGCAACATTTTTTATCAGAATGACCCTGAATCTCAAGTTTGCTGTTATTTTTCAACAGTTTGGTCCTTGCTTTAAGTGTATTCACTAACATGATTTTGAAGAATTACCACTGAACTAAGATATGGACAAGCACCAACAGTTTCAGAAGCAACACTTCTGAGGTTTACAAGGTTTTCAGAGTACACAGTAGAGATACATACAACTTCCACCCATCAAGTTCTCACTCCCTCCGTCTGCAAAGGAAGTTGGTAAACACAGCAAAGACTGGCAGACAAAAAAAAAAAAAAGCCCCACCCTCAGTACTCTTTGTATTTGGGGCAAATAAAAAAAACCAAAAAAGCTCCCAAACTTAGGGGGAAAAAAAAAAAAAAGGTGCGGGGGTGGGGGGGAAACCACTTAATGCTTGTGGTCTGACAGTAACAAAATGAGCTCTGTATACTCAGAGCCCCTTTATTCTTCCCCATATTACATTTCCTTTCTTCTGCTACGAGGAAGGAGAGGGAAAAAAAATGAACAACTCTCCTTTATTTCTCCTCAGCCACCTCTTTTTGTTGTGATAAGTGTGGACAAACAGCAGTGAAGAATGAATCTTACCAAAAGAGGATCTGTGCCAAATTCACCACAAATTGAGGTGAAGAGGAGGAATCAAAACCATCTTTACTAAGTGTATTTACCAGCCAGATATAAATAGTATTCATTGCCATCAACTGTGAGATACAAAATTAATACAGAATGACTCTTCCAGATTCATGAATCAGATGACAAAAGACAGACTTCTATTATCAAGACATCAAGATACAAATTTAAATGCAACTATGAACACCTCTGAGCTCAAAGACTAGCAATATTTGTGGGGAAAAAAACCTAGATACTTAAATAACATAACCCCCCAAAAATTCTCTAACTATACATTCTGAAAAATTAACTCATGAACTAAGAAGTCAATGAATTCAGTAATAAGATCCAGTACCACCACTTCTCATTCTATTACTGTACTCTATATCTTTATTAACTGAAGTTAAGACAACGTCCTCCAAATCAGGAAATTGCCATTGCCCAAATAGCCATTAAACCACATACGTGAAATAGGTTGGCAACACTAAATTATGAATCCTCAGCAGGAGCGCCACTGCCACAATCTAAAGGGGGCGGGAGGAACAGTATGCTCTGACAAAAGTTACTATTCGTCTTCTAACACTACTAGAATGCATATTATAAAAAAAAAAAAAAAAAAAAAAGGCAATTTGACATCACAGTACATGGTCTAACGCAGGGTGTCTCTGACCAGCTGAGCTATTCTTTTATTTAGTGTATCAACTGAATTTTTAATGTTAACCTATATCTTCCTTAAGCCCACATCCTTTTTCTGACTACTGACAGCTTCAGTACCACTTCCATCTGCCACTGGCAGGTAAAGAATGTCCCTCAGGTGAAACCCTGACTGTAACCACCACTCTATAACAGAGTTAGAAACTTAACAGCAGCCTGTGAATAAAAGTCTGGCTACACAGGTGTTGCTGGCAGTGTTCTATGAAAGTAAATAAGCTGCACAAAGCACAGATAAGCTGAACTTCAAATACCAATGCTGAGAGGTGGGAAAAAAAAAAAAAAAACAATAGAAACCATAACAACAAAACAAAAACAGAACCAATTCAACGCAACCATCAAAAGCCTCAGCGAATCTCTAAGCATGGTACTAATACTGGCTGCGGCTGAGAAGGGCAACTAGAAAAGCCTTTGAACTTCGGAACTACACAAAATCCACACGGGAGTGCGAAATTCACGGTAGCACAGAAGGGCCAGTGCTGTCACACAGCTGCACTCGAGGGCACCCGAGGCCTCAGAGCGGCCGGCGGCAGCCCCGGCCCGTCCGTGAGCAGGCCGGGGAGCGCCGAGCGCACACACTGCCAGCCACCGCCAGCGCACGGCCGGGATGTCCCACTAACCCCAACAGGTCACCGGCAGCGGCCGTGCCCTCGTTACGCACCCTTCGCCGCAGCCCCGAGTGATGAGGTGGCAGCGCTGTACCTCCCTCCTCGCACCCTTTCCCGAAATATGTCCCCCCCCAAGACAACATGGGCCCGGGGAGGCGGGGGGTGTGGGGTGTGTGCCCCGCCGCCATGGCGGACACCGCGCAGCCCCGACAGGAGGGACGGAGGGAGGGCGACCAGCCACCAGCCACCACGGCCGAAGGCCCACCCCGACGGGCCGCGGACGGCCACGGCACAGCCCCCCGGCGACGCAGCCCCATAGGGACCCCGGCCCGGCTCACCCTGGTACTGCAGGTCGAAGAGAACGAGCAGGAAGGGCAGCGCGGAGCCCAGGCGCCCGGCGGAGGCAGCGGGGGACACCATCTCCTCCTCCTCCGTCGCCGCCCCCTGTCCCGACAGTGGCGGCTCCGGGCCGGGCCCAACCGAGCGGCGGCTCCAGCTCCTCCGGGCAGGGTCGTGGGCGACGCTGATTGGCCGCGCCGCGCGCGCCCGCCCCTGCCTGGCGCCCGCCGCCGGACGTGAGGGAGCGCCGCGAGCGCGCCCCGCCC